CTTAGAAATGCAGATTTTCTGAGACAAACCAATAAAATGATTTATTATTGGACCCAAGTATTATTAGGACTTCTCCAGTGGCTCAGCAGTAAAGAACTGGCCTGCCAATACAGGAGATGTAGGTTCGATCCCTGGGTCAGGAAGATCCTCTGGAGAAGGAAATGGCAACCCACTCCAGTATTCTTGTCTGGAGAATCCCATGGACAGAGGAGCCTGGTGGGCTACAGTCCATGGGGTCGCAGAAGAGTTTGGACAGAACTTAGTGACTTAATAAACATTTACTCTTTAATGTTTCTACTCTTTATGTTGGCTGTGACCGTTTGGGGATGTCTGGAAACTAAAAATGGCACATTGGGTGGTTTGTGGGCTCTTAAGTCCCCTCCTCCTATATCTTTGCCAGAGAAATCGTTTCCTTGCATCACCTTTCAGTATTTAATGTCTGTGGCCCAAGCCAGGGACAGAGCCTTCACATCCGAACTCCCTAGTAGCCTACCCAGCAGCATTTGTAAATGGACATTCCCAAGCCCAGTCGCTCAGAGCTCTGAGCTACGGTGACCTCAGTGTGTGTTAGCCGCCTGCATCCTGAGTCTGTGAGGGGTTCTCATTCCCACTGGTTGACCTCCAGCTTATTCTCAGTGCCTGCGAGGCTGGTGTCAGCTACCAGTCTGGTAGAATACTGACGAAATGTGAAGTTCTTTCAAGAATTAGTCAGTGTCTTACCCCAGTGAGGTCTTCAAGTTGGCTTTGCCACTTGGGGATGTTCGCACTCACTCTTGGGGAGAGGAGAGGGAGGTTTTCACTTCACACACAAGCATTTGTCTTCTGTCTTCCTTCTCTTTCTCCTTCTTCCTCCCTGCATTCTAGTGCTTTCTTTTTCTCTTTCTCTCTCCATACCCCACCTTTATTTCCTCATAATAATAAGAATGTGCTATAAAATTAAAAATCATGTTGGTAACAGCGTGCTGCCTTTGTAATTAAACATCTCATCAGGACTTCCCTGGTGGTCCAGTGGTTAAGACTCCTGTCTGAAAGCAGGAGACTTGATTCTATCTCCTGGTCGATCTCTGGTCAGTCAGGGAACTGGGATCCTGATAAATAAATAAATAATAAATAATAAAACCCACATTAACAAACCTGTCAATTGTGGCACAAACTCCCTCTTCGAGTAAGCAGGAACTCCTTCTGGGTCATCCCGGTTTACTTTTTTAATCCATATTCCCCCTTATTTTCTTATTTTTAATGTTCTATTTCTCTGATATCATGAACACTTTTGATACATGAACAGTGTGATGCTCTAATCCTTTTTCCAGTAAAATACAAGATAAATTTCTCAGTGGATAACATGGATATTCCATTGACTGAGAGTACTGCTTCCATAGTTTTGCCAATTATTTGTCTGTTTATATAGCAAATATCTTTAATTTTGGACTCCTGAAAGAGGGAAGAGTTTTGGGGTTTCTTCTTTTTTTTCCAGTGTAAAGGAGAGAGCTGCCGCTGCTGCTAAGTCACTTCAGTTGTGTCCAACTCTGTGTAACCCCATAGATGGCAGCCCACCAGGCTCCCCTGTCCCTGGGATTCTGGCAAGAACACTGGGGTGGGTTGCCATTTCCTTCTCCAAAAAGGAGAGCACAAGTGTCAAAAAAGCCACATTTGTTTGCTGGGGTGCTTGTGCAGAACTGAGGGACATTCCCAGGACAGCCGTGTCTTGAGGGAGCATGGTGGCTTCAGGAGACCTCGGGGCCCTCAGCGTTCATGCTGGTTCTGTCACTTCTCTTTTCAGGTGACAGTATTCATAGAGAACCTACTCTGTGCCAGGCAGGGCTTTTACAGGCATTATGTCTCGTCTGTTCTTCAAATGGCCCTATTAAATGGGTAGTACTTTCATCTCTCCCTTTAAAAAAAAAAATGTATTTGGCTGCACTGGATCTCAGTTGCATTATGCAGGATCTTTCTTTGCTGTGCACGGGCTCTGGCTGTGGTGCTCGGGCCTAGTTGCTGGACAGCATGTGGAGTCAGTTCCTCGGCCAGGGATTGAACCCACATCCCCTGCACTGCAAAACATATCCCTAGCCTAGCAGACCACACGGGAGTCCCCCTTTCCTCTCATTTCAATGAGGAACCCAAGGGTGGCGGTGGAACCCCCACGGCACGTGTGTGCCGTGTGCCTGCCGTGCGACTCTGACCCCGCAGTCTCTGAGCCTGCATGAGCTCGTCTGTGCAGCGGAGACAGGATGACTGGGCACTAAAACAACCCTCATCACCGATGTTGTTGGACTTGACTGTGACTATTACAGCTCTTCTGTAATGTGGCTGCCTTTCCTAATCTTTGCTTTCCATCCATAGGTGGTTAAGAGAGAGGACATCCAGCAGTTCTTTGAAGAATTTCAGTCAAAAAAGAGAAGAAGAGTGGACGGGATGCAGTATTATTGCAGCTAGAGAGGAGTGCAGCGCCTTCTATCCAGGCCGAGAAAGACCCACTTCCTGTTCCAGGAATAAAAGAGGCCGCCTCCTCCTCCAGCCTTGAGCTTCCTTCACTCTCCTAATGACAGTAGCCACAATGTTTATGCTGATTTCACAACCAGCATTCTTTCTGACTCAGCTAAATGCAACTCATTCCACAGACTTGAGCCCCCCCACCCCCAGCCTAGCCAGGGTTATTTGTTCAGAAGTTTCAAGAAGTTTGATTTGTTTTTAAAAAAGTAAACTTGTCTTTTTTTACGCCCCCCCCCCAGTGATTTGTTCTTTTAACTCCCAGGTGTGTCTGCTCTGCCACAGCCTCTGTCTTCTAGGACCTGCTTTGAGGAGTGTCGCAGAAGCCCTGCTGTCAGCTCCACAGGTCCCCGCACCCCTCTGATCCTGGTGCCTTGGGTCAAAGCTTCCTCAAGCCTGGTCTGCTTCTGTCCCGTGTCCCTGTTTTCTGAGGTTTGGTCATGGCTCAGAAGGAATCTCAGAGCGCGCTTCATCTAGGCTGAACCTCCGGAGTTAGCCAGGACTGCAGCTTTTTGGTCTAGACGTGTGTCACAGGCAAGGAGGTTGGCTGATGGCAGGACTGAGGAAGACTACCTTTGTTACAGATTTTACTAATATAAAGTGAAAATGTCATTCACAAATCTACTGACACTAGAATATTAGAATTTCAGTACTGTAGTGCTCACAGGGCTTCCTGGAGAAAATCTGCCATTACATCAAGACTAGTCCCTCTCTGCTGCCTAGAAAATAGACCGGGTACTACCCTGTGAAATCTTGGTGGTTTACAAAGTCCTCCGAGTTTCTTAATATTATCAGGGATATTCATAAGCATATATTAAGAATAGACCTATTTTGATATTGTTCTGTTAAGAAAATGTTATTAGAAGCCCAGTAAATTATTTCCCCCTTAAATCTGTGCTGAAGAAAAAAACATACTGGCTTAGCTTGTAAGGAGCAGGGGCAGTGAGTGCCCTGTTTTGGGAGAGGCAAACTGTGGAAGAGATCCCAAACAAGGCCCCAGGCCGCGCAGATGGTGAGCTTTAAGTAAAGCATAGTCCCTAATGTCAGTCCGCAGCTGAGTCCCTAATGACTGTGAGATCTTTCGAAGAACCTCGTGGGATGTTGTATAAAAGCCCATATTTGAGGGGATGTCCTTTCAGTTGGTTTGAAGTGTCTTTAAAGCCCCTCAGTCTGTGTGGAAAACACCTTTCAATAAACAAGAACCCTCAGTTGCTCTCTCCCTCTGGAGGAGCATGGCCTTTCCTGATGGTAGATGACACACTTTGAGGTGTGTGACTATAAGCATTTGAGGCTTTGGGGCCACAAGTGTATATTAATATTTTTTGTGTGTCCAGCAGTCACATGTACCCACTGATCCCTGAGTACAGTGAACTCGGCCTGCAGAAGGCAAAGGCCTTCAAGAAATAGTACAGTTCATGTTTTTCTGCCTCAGACCTAATTACAGATCCCCAGGAAGAGTGATGTGTGGAACGGGAAGATCTCGCGGCCACAGGAGAGGCGTGTGTGCTCTGAGCTGGCCTTGTGGAAGGCTGAAGTGGCCAGGGCCAGAGCTCCAGGCATCTCCGAGAGGGCCGCCACCCCCAGCTTGGGAGCTCTCTGTTCCGAGCCTGAGGATTTTTGAACCCTTCTCTGCAAGGTGATACTGGTTGTATACCATTACGGCCTGAAAGGCTCTATCTTCTCAGGCATATGATTTAAGCACCAGAAAGTTCCTTCCTTCCTTATGACAGGTCAGGACCAAGTCTCAGCATCACTGTGCAGCACGACAAAAACCCCCAGTGCTGAAGGGCTTGTTTTAGGAAAGGTACTGTTCCTCTCACGTTAACCAGAAGACCTCTTTTTTTTTTCTTAAAACCTGTTGTTCACAACTAGTTTTCTTATTGACTGTATTGGACCGTCTCTTCTTGTAGAGACTGATTTTGGCCAACATGTGGCAGTTGATATTAATGCATGTTTTATGCAAAACAAGAATACGATATTAGTTACTTTTAAGGAATTCTGGCATTGTATGTGCATTTTTGTAGAATTGTTACGGGACTTATAATTACATACTTAACTCTAATCAGGTTTCTGTAAAAATTTAAATAAATCAATTAAAAATAGTGGCTCTTCAGATGGTTTCTCATCACCTTTAAATGTGTATGGCCTCCGTTTGCAGAAACAGGAACCATGTGAGTCCACTGTGGCAGCGCCATCTGCCCTGGGGCCCGCTCCAGCAGGGCGGCTGGCTCCTGTCCCCCCAGCACGATGTGACCTGATCCCAGGACACACACACACCCCAGACCTCAGGTCTTGCCAGCAGGGCTTCTTCACACGTGGGTGCACACGCATGTATACACACCCGGCTTTACAATACCTCTGAGGAACGCACATACTCTCACCCCACTTTACAACACCTCCGAGGAGAGAGGGTCCATAATTTCCTAGGTGAACAGAGAACAAAGGGGTGAGGGTTGTGATGAATCACAATGCGCTCAGGTCTTGCTCTATACAGGGGAGACAGCCAGGAGCCCACAGGCCCAGGAAGAGATGCGGTCCACCTCCATGGTAGCCATTATTTCAAAAGTAAATGTGAGGACAAACCAAGAAGCTAGTGAAGAGGCCCATCTGTGGCCTTCCCCCAGCTCTTGCTTCCTGGGAAATGATTCAGTTGCAGTCATCGCCTGTGGTAAGTGCTGGTGAATAAAGTGTTCTCCATAGCCCTGGAGCTGCTCTCACCGGTGAACACTCAGGATTAAAGAACCATCCATGCCAGGAAAACAGCGCACCTCCCAGCTCCCTGAAAGGACCCTAGTGCAGCAGAAGAAAATTGAAACAGCAATCCAAGTGATAACTGGACCTTGGCAGGGACCTAGTTCAGCTCCCACAGAAGGTGAGTGTGTGCTGAGAACGTGGGAAGCACAGGAAACATGGAGATCAACCCAGCAGAGCCCCCAGGAGCCAATGAGGCTGCCTCTCCGCCCTTCCACCTTGAAGCAGCTATCAGACGCAAGCCTTGGCCTAAGGGGGCATCTGGGCTACAGCCAGACGGGTGCCTCACTGGTGCCCTGGGCCACTGGGCACTAGGCGAGCGCTCCATACTTAGGGTCCCAGGACCCCTCGGACGAAGGGACCTGAGAAGCCCCCCAGCCTCACCTCTCGGGACAGGGTCCCATCTTGCAGGTGATCCTCACAGGGTCCCGTGCTGGTCTCAGCCCCTTGGCCTCCATGCCTCCATGCTCCTGGGGCAGTGCCAGGTGACGAGGGCACTTGGCCTTTCTTCTCTCTTGGCTGCCGGCATAACTCCTGTGAGCACCAGGGGGCCAGACTCAGGAGCAAGCCAACACCCTGGAAGGCAGAGAGGAGACAAAATCCAGGCCTTTGTTGTGGTTCAGGCACTCGGCCACTGGGGTAGTCTGGTCTGAAGCTTGCGGTCTGCAACTCCTGGACTCCGCTGCAGCACAGAACACTTCTGCGTTTCTCTAGCATCTTCTCCTGAGCACTGCCCATGACAGCGCTCCCTACCACACATGGCGCTTGTCCCTCACTCTCCAGGGCTGGTGCCTTTTCCTGTGGAAAAAGGCTGGACACTTCTGGACTTTTCCATCAGCCTCCCATCCAACGTTTTGTTCTGGTCTTCTCCCAGGGATTCCTAGGTTGTTCCTGGCATTCTCCAGCCCCTGCTCAGCTTTGTTTCAACTCCCCCCACCTGGAGACTTCTACCTGGGTTTCTCTTCAGCCGTTCTTTCCTCTTGTGTGGGGCCCATGCCTCATGCTACTCGGTTTTTCTCACTCACATCCCCACCTCCTGGCTTCCCTCTCTTGGCTCTCTGCCTCAGGCTTCTGGATGCAGCTGAGCTATAATGAGCCAAAGTGAAATGTTCTACAACTATATTGGGTTTCCCCTGGTGGTTCAGCTGGTAAAGAATCCACCTGCAATGCAAGAGACTTGGGTTTGATCCCTGGGTTGGGAAGTTGCCTTGGAGAAGGGAATGGCAGCCTACTCCAGTATTCCAGCCTGGAGAATTCCATGGACAGAGGAGTCTGGTGGGCTACAGTCCATGGGGCGTCAAAGAGTTGGATAGGACTGAGAGAATAGTACACACCAACACAACTGTATTAGGTTTTCCAGAGAAACAGAACCAACAGGAGATATACACACCTACCTCTCTGTCTACCTAGGTCTATAAAATAAGGAATTGATTCATATGATTGTGATCAGCCGTCTGTAAGCTGGAGACCCAGGAAAAGTCAGTGGGGTGGTTCCAGTCCAAGCCTGAAGGCCTGAGAACCTGGGAGCTGATGATGTAAGTGTCCCAGCCCTGGAGGGGGCCAGTATCTGAGCTCCAACAGGCAGAGAGTAAATCCTCTCTCCACATTTTTGTTCTATTCAGGCCTTCAATGAATCGAATGATGCCATCACTCCAGGAGGGGCACCCGCCTTCCTCAGTCTACAGGTACAGATGCTAAATGCTCTCCTAGATGCGCCAGGATAATGTTTAGCCAGACGTCCGGGCACCCCACGGCCCAGTCCAGTTGACAGAAAATCAGCCATCACAACTGACCCATCTTTGTCTCCTTCCACCCTGAGCAGCGCTTGTGGAGTAAGGAAGGCCGCTGGGGTCTGCAGGGATGAGCCTGTGTGCTGGCTGTCCTTATGCCCTCGGGGCTGCAGGTGCCGCTCAGGCCGTTCTGGTGCTAAGATGCCCGCTGAGGCGCACAGCCGGGGGTGACCACGTTGGGGTCTCAGCGCCCGACTCGCGGGGAGACGGGGCTCTCCACCCCATCAGGAAAGCCTACCTACCCCAGCTGGCAGGCCTGGAGCTGGGGATAAAACGGGGCGGCAGCTGAGGACAAAGACCCTGATAAGAATGAGACGCACCTTCCCCACCAGTTTCTTCGCAAAGCTGCAGAGTCAGCCACGGATTTCACCACCCAGGTTCTGTTCTGGGTACATCAGCAGGTCAGCTGCCCTGACCGAGGCCCCGGGCTCTCTCTTTCCTGCCTGGCCTCCCCTCCCCTCCGTGACCTCTTTATTATAAATGGAGAGGCCCCGCAGTGTGGCTGATATTCAAATCGTTGTTTTTACTTTGTAACAGCATGTACCCCGGTCAGTAACGATACATTTGTGGGTTTATTTGCTTGGTATCTGTTATCCCCACTAAACGGTAAATTTTTCAAGGTCAGGGTCCGTTCTTCCAACTTACGGTTAAAGGGCTGGACCGTGGGCCCACCTGCCCTGCTGTTGGGTGCATGGCCGTGGGCTGCATGCGCTTGTGCACGTGATCTCCTCCTCCCCACAGTGGCCCACAGAGTAGGATTGCCTGTCTCCATTTTACAGATGTGGAAACTGAGGCGATGAGAAGCCGGGGGGTCCACCATCAGTGGTGACTCCCAGCTCATTTCACTCCACAGTCCAGCCTCCTTCACGTGGGGGCACCGGAAGCAGTTAAGAATCTCAGGGCAGAAATGATGGGAGATGACAGCTTTTACCTAAATCAGGGTATATTGTGTTTGGCCCTGGGGTAGGAGGGACCCTGACTCTGAGTTTTCTTTTGATAAATTCACTACACGACAGGACTGGACTGTCTTCCAGTGTCTAAACCACTCCAGGGAGGGGTTCCTACGCCTTCCAAGAAACACAACCCCAGCGCAGCGTGCCCAAGCAAGAGGCTGGGGATGGATGGTGACCCTAGAGGGAGAAAGAGGTGCCTCCGCTCACCAGAAGGGTCACAGAGGAGAGAAGATGAGGGACCTGGGGGCAGCCTATTTTGCCTGTGAGGTTGAGCAGCAAGCTGGAGGGCGGCACCCGTGAGAGCAGGCAAGGACGCAAAGTGGCTGGGAGCCTGGGGACTGTGGGGACCGTGGCTGTATGACTGTCTTCAGCTGTCCCCAGAGCTGGCTCCAGATCCAGGAGATGCACATGTCTATTATTTATGGGTTGAATCTGGCCAGAAAACTGGTGGCAAGGTGAGCAGGTCGAGGAGGCAGACACCTAGGGAGGCTGGGCTGTTCAGAGGCCAGAGATCCAGAGGAAGCGGGAGGTTGGGGGTGGGGGGCATCTGGGACGCTGTGGCCTGAGAGCAGGAAGTGAGGTAGGGTTTCAAAGGTGGAGCCTTTCTGGGGACAGGGGCGGGGTGGTGGAGTGGGCGGCAGGAATGGTAGAGCAGGCGGCTGGGGATGGTCCCGGCTGCTCCCCAGGCTGATGGCTGGGCCTGCGCAGAGAGGCCAACAGCGAGGCTGAGCCGAGGCCCCAGGGTGTGACAGGAGGGACGGGGTGACAGTCACAAGGCTGAGGGTGGGACAGGCAGATGGGGAAGCTGCAGGGATGCCGGGGTGCCACACAGGGGGGCGGCCTCACACCGCTCACCCTGGCCCTTAGGTGTGGGAAGTGTTCCCGGGAGAGGCCTGCAGGGTTGGGGGAGGGCTGGGCCTCAGCGGAGGAGAAGGCCGGTGAGGAGGAGACAGCGGGAAGGAGGAGGAGGCCGTCGCAGAGGAAGGGCGGGGGACCGGGTCAGGGGATGGCCGTGGGAATCCGGGGGTGGAGCTGAATCATGGGAGGAGTCCAGGGGGCTGTGCAAGTGACTCGGCAGAGGGGAAACAGCAGGTCCAGGGGGACAGCTGACCCCCGCGCTACAAAGAACACAGTACTGGCAACCCCTTGGGCGGTGGTGGGAAGTTGGGACACTTGGGCCTCTCGGGGTGACCCACACCTGGACTGACCAGAGGGTGGGTGGATCTGTCCAGACGTGGAGAAATTACAAATGGTTATAGTTCAGTCACAGAGGGTGGTGAGGTATTTGGTTCATCTGATGGAAGGTTCCAGAAATGGAGGATGTTTAAGGTGAGGGATTTCAGCAGGAGAGTGCAAAAGACAAGAGCTGTCCACAGAGCCTCACAGCAGGCCTGCCAGGGGTATCGAGGAGCTTCTTCACCCGAGAACAGGAAGACAATGCAGCGTGACTCAAGGATTAAGAGGCAAAACATGAGAAGTCCACACAGAGCTCGGACAGTGAACTACTGTCACCCCATTTAAGGATGAGGACACACCGGCTGAGGTGGATGAGGTGGCACCCCGGTGATGGTCCCCACCAGACAAGCCCCCTCCTCTGGAACAATCCCCGTCCTCCCTCGGGATTTCTGGCCTTGGCTTCCTCAGTCTCCCACCAGCCAGCAGTGGTCACAAGCACGCTTGGACTAGCAGACTTTGTGGCTGCAGATGTCCACCCAAGTTTACAGACAGGTGACGCCCCCAAATCCGAGGCTCTGCAAGTTGTGAGGCTCACCCCGGGGCAGACCTCAGAGGAGGACGTCTTCACCCTGCCACTGACACAAAGCCCCAGGGCCATGTCTGGGCTATCCAGCAAGGTGAGCTCCGGGGGTTTTAGAGACCAAATAAAAAGGGACCAGAGTTGTGCAGATGAGGGACACACCAATGAGCCGTCGAGGCAAAGACCGAGGTGAGGCCCATGATGCCGGTGTTGTTCTCATTATCAAGTGTAAGCTGAGTTTGGAGCTGGGACATTTCATGCAGGCTTAATGGGGGATGGAGAGCAGACCCACAAAGTCACAGACATCCTTTCTTTGCAGGCAGCATCCCTCAAACCTGGACAGGTGAGCAAACGTGGAGACAAGGGTCTGGGAGGGTCCAGGGAGCAGGACGGTGCCTTCTGGGGAATTCTTGTGTTCCTGGCATTCGGACAGATGACCAATACTTGTTGTTCAGTCAGTAAGTCGTGTCTGACGCTTTGCAACCCCATTGACTGCAGCACACCAGGCCTCCACGTCCCTCACTATCTCCCGGAGTTTGCCCAAGTTCATGTCCAGTGAATTGGTGATGCCATCCAACAATCTCATCCTCTGCCGCCCTCTTCTCTTGACCTCAATCTTCCCCAGCATTAGGGTCTTTTCCAGTGAGCTGGCTGTTTGAATCAGGTGGCCAAAGTATTGGAGCTTAAGCTTCAGCATCAGTACTAGACCAGTACTAGAAACGACCAAAGGTCTCAATTCATCTGCTTTGGCCCTGTTATGTGAGGGATAGCAGGTTCTGGTAACTAAGGGCACGGACTTTCACAGGGCTCTCTACGGTATTCGAAAACGAACTTTTGCTGCTGCTGATTGCTGATACTTGGAGAAGGCAGCTGTGATTAGAAACTAACAGGCTTTTTTTTTTTTGGCTACACAGCTTGTGGGATCAGTTCCCTGACCAGGGCTTGAACCCCAGCCCTTGGCAGTGAGACTGCAGAGTCCTAACCACTGGACCACCAGGAAAGTCCCAGAACTAAGAGTCTTTTAAGAACACATGATGCTGAGCTGGCCTCCTCCTCTTCCATGAGGGATAGACCCCCGTTGGGCTGCCTCTGAGTGTGACTGCCTCTCATGATGGACACGTGGGGTTTGGCTGGGGCCCCTGACACCTCACCACTGCCGCAGCCTCCGTCCTCTCTGCACTCATCTCTGCCCCAGCTGCTCCCTCAGGCTGTCTCCATGAATCCCACGTGGACTCCCACCCATCCCGCCTGGCTTTTCTCTATCCTGTCACCAAACTGCTCTTGCCAAGCTCACTCACCTTCTCCATGGTGCTGACCCAAATCATCTTTTGAGCCTGATTTTCCAAAAATCTCTGAGCAGCAGCCACCACTGAGTTAACTTTGGGAGAGGGGTGGAATTGATCCTTCATCTCAACCTTTAACTTGAAACAGTAACACATGCAGACAATTTAAAAATTCAACCAGTACAGAAAGTATACAATTAAGTTCCCCCCACCTGATCACAGTGCCTCTCATGCAAATGTTCTCATAGGTTTTTTGCAGACATTTTCATGAATATGAAATCTATCATGTAGCTCCTTTTTCTCATCTTCTCCACAACTGGGGGTGTCCATATGCCCTGTTTTGTATTTGGCTTTTCACTTCATTCATTCTGAGGATCATATTCCACCCTTTTTGAACAGTCCCTCCTGCCCTTCTGAGAACCACACTGGTTTTCTACCTGGTAGGCAGCCCTTGGTCAGCAGCAACTCCCTCAAGCTGACCTGTAAAGGTGGGACTTCCTTGTTCATTCTTGGCCTTCTTTTAATTTAAACCATCCCCCTACATCACCCCATCTACTCCCAAGGCTTTCACTGCCAACCAATATGTGGTGGGCTATGGTCTATAGGGTCACAGAGACTGAAGCGACTTGTCATGCATACATGCATGTATGTGGGCAACTCTCACTGGCACCTCTAGCTTGGCCCTTGCTTCTGAGTCCCCGGCTTACATGGAATCACCAAGTGAACACGATCAACATTAAATTCATGGTTTTTCCCCTTGACCTGACTCCTCCCTCTCTCCCCCCATGCCCAAACAACCCCCAAGTCCTGGAGATACTACTCCCTAGCCATACTCCTCTCTGCTCTGTTGGCTATCCAAGCTCTCCCCTGGAGGCTGTGCCAGCCTCCTGCCTGGCTTCCTGATCTACACCTGCTCCTCAGTCCTGTGATGTGGAACATACAAGTCTGATTACGTTTATGTCCCTGTTGAAAACCCTGCAGCACTTCCTGTTGCTTTGAGGATCAATTTCAAAATCCTCAGGTTGTCCTGGAAGGGCTGGCAAGATGGGCCCAACCCACCTCTCGGCCAACTCTGGCTTCCCCAGTGCTCAGCCCCGGAAACTGCTGGAAACTGGCTCCTCCTTGCCCCGAGACTCTTCCTTCACCTGACTTTGATTCCACCTGGAAGACTTCCCAGTCCTGGCACAGGTCAGAACCCCAGCCTTACCTATGTAATCCTGCGTCTTTTTTTCCCTCGAGACCCTAACATTCTCACGGCCAGGACTGTGACTGTCTTTATTCCTGTCACCTCAGGGCCTAGCAGAGCCTGGCAGGTAGAAGATGCTCATTGGGTGAATGTTTGAAGACACAAGTGCCCCGCTTGTGCCTATCTGCACCCCCTGCAAACTGTGGCCCCTTACCTGGGCACCATGCCTTCTGGTGTGCAGTACAATACTGTGGCTGAGAACTTGGGATCTGGAGTCAGAATGCCTGGGGTTTGAACTCAGGCTCTGCCAACTGGCTGTGTGACCTTGGATGAACCATTCAGTATCTCTGTGCTTTGGTTTTCTCATTTGTGGTGGTGTTCAGTCGCCATCGTGTCCGCCTCTCTGCAA